GCAAATTTCTATCACATATGGTTGGTTGAACAGCCAGCCAGATGTTTAGACTGGATTTGGCAGTTTTATCCAATTATGAAGTCCTTCCCAAGGACCTGGATTAGACAAATGTTGTTTGAATATGTTAATGGTTAGGGTTAGGGTAAAAATCATTTAAAAAATCACAAAACTGTGTTTTACTTATTCTAGCTATATCATGTGGAGGAATTCACTGGAAAAAGCAATTATGTTTTGAAGAGTTAGCAGTAAAAGGAAACCAGGTTGCCAAAGAACACAGTGCCAAAGCATAGAACAACTCAAAGAAGCAGTGCAAGATTGGAATATGTGGAGAAACCTGGCCCATAGAATTGCTAAGAGTCGGACATGGCTGAATGGATAATGTGTCATCATAGGATGCAAGCTGTTCCAAATAAAACTACTTTTTGCAATTGACTGATAGCTATTTTGTCAATGCTGAAGGTGCTCCAAATGTTTTGGGTTTCCACCCAAAGTGCCAATTACTATTGAGACTATCTTTGCTTTCCTTTGCCGCGATCACTTTACTTCTATTTGCAGGTTATTATATTTTGTGATTTGCTTTAGCTTTTTTCTCTTCCATTCTGCTGTCTCCAGGTTTCCAATTGAAATTTCCACTATCCATTGGCTTTCTTACCAAAAATTTTTAACTGTGGTGTGTTATGTGAAAGCAGTTTGTCTACGTCAATTCTGAGATCACAGAGCACTTCAGCTTCTTCATTTTCTATTACTTTGTCTATTTTGTTATCCCATCAGTTCTTGCTTCCAGGCAAGTGGTTTTTCTTGCCAAGTCTTCCAATACACCACTGTTGCTAGTTGATCATGCTGCTGTTTGTAGTCAGTCTGTGCATTCTTCTTGGAAAAATTAGCTGTTTTTCTTCAGCCTCTTTGCAAAAGCAGCTTTTGCCGTCCACTGCTATCTTCTCAGTTCTGGCTTTGTATGCTTTTCTTCTTAAGGACTGGTCTTGTGCAGCCAGAATTCTGCATCTTTCTTCAAGTTTTCTACTCTTAAATTATTGCCAGGTCTTGCTACTATCTGCTTTGCCTACTAATGATTTGGTGTATTAGTCATGTAATGCTTCTCCTTGCCATGCCTATTCATTATTTTTCCTTTGGTCTTTCTTAGTCTGGCCTCTGTGGAATTCAGTAAGCCTCCAGAGTATATTTGCTTCAGTTCACCTTCTTCACTGTCCTTCACATATTCTTTCAATGCCTTTTTTCTTCCTAACTGTAATTGCAACATTCCATGCCCACTTATGCTTCCTGGTGCATAGAGTCAGTCAAAATCGCTACATGGATGAGGACATGATGAAGTTGACCTTGTGAGAAATAGGACACTGAGTAAGTCTTCAGTCCGATCCAGTACAGTTTCACTTAGAAAATGCCAGTATTAAGTTATGAGAACAGGGTCTATTTATTATATCCTTTCCTTAAACCCCTGTGCTCTAAAACTGGCGCTCTTGAAATCTGAAGGAATATAATTCCCAGTCACTTTCTTACTTTAGTGAAATGTTGGCTTTATCTAGCTGATCTTTTGGAAGAGTTTTCTAACAAAATGATTCTGTTATTTGATAAAGAAATAGATTACTAGTAAAACAAAGTTGGTGTAACTTGTTGGACAGGTCTATCCTGGTCAATCTATTGAGCTTTACGCTACACCTTCCCCTAAGGTAAGGTGTTGATTCATTTCATGATAAGCCAAGAGATTTGTGAGAAAATATGGGTCAGGTCAAATTAAGAATGAGATCATGCGGAGGTCAGCATGGAATGGATGGAAATTTCAAAGTCTTCATGGACTACAAGACTGGCCCATCCTTGTTTAAAAATGAACTACTAATTTCTTAATTTTCTGGTTTAAAAAGGGTTAAATATGGGAAGAAGGAATCTATACAATGCAATTTTGAAGAGGGAAAAATAATAGAAATTATTTTGTAACTGCTGTAAAGAAGATTGGAAGCTACTTTTCAACTTTGTTTTTATTTTATTTGTTATCTGTACTGTTTGTAGCATTTCATCTTTTGCCTTTTTCTAATTTCTTTATACTTTTTTATTTATCTTTTAATTATGTCAAATGTTTTAATAAAAATATACTAAAAAGAGAGAGAAAGAAGGAAGGAAGAGAGGAAGTATATGTAGGAGGGAAATTGGAGAGGGAGAAAAAGGGAAAAGGGAGAAGGGAAGGGAAGGGGAGGGGAGAGGAGAGGAGAGGAGAGGAGAAGAGAAGAGAAGAGAAGAGAAGAGAAGAGAAGAGAAGAGAAGA